GGAAAATTCATTGATAATGGCTAATAATATCAAGTTTCATTATATGACAACTAATATATACACTTTGATGAACATATTTTCAAAACATAACTTAAACCACGCTGTTTCCCAGGTCACTCTTTTCAAGCACAGCCCCTCTTTTCGCCCTTTATCCCCATAAACAATCCTCTGAGAACTTTTAAAAAGTTTTATAGTTGATAAACTTTCCCAGTTGCACAAGTTCTAAGCAGTAAGATAAACAAAAGATTCCTTGAAGAAAAAAACAAAAACAAAAAACACATTAGCAGTGAAAAGTATTGAAGTGACTGTCCCAAATAGCAGACTGCTCCTATCCTTTTTACTCATTCCAAATATAAAGACTGACTCATGCGTCTCTAGACAAAGTTTTTCTTTCTTTTTTCTTTTTTAAAATCTTGTTTTGGACACAATTGCCTGGGTGTAATTGGAAGAAAACCCCGGGTGACATGTGGCTGGTGCTATTTGCACCTGTGTAAACAAACACTGCCCCCTACAGGTCAGCATCCTCTGTCTTTGCAGTCAGGAAATTTTCTTCCTGTACTGTCTCTTGTGTGCTCACAGAAAATCAATCAAATCAATCAATCAATCAATCAGTGTTATAGCTTATGTCTAAATGTTCCACAAAGTCTCATGCAGTTATAGGTGGGGCTTTTTGGAGATGGCTGGATCTAGAGTGTGTGATTGATTCCTGGTGCAATGTGGAGGTGAACGGTGTGATTACTAAACTGGTTCACTGATTGATTTGGCACCACCCTGATCTCAGGTCTCCTGCAGAGGGCAAAAAGGGACAGAAAGGCACTGCTAAGGTTCCTTGTTGCCTTGCTACCTCGTGGGCACCGTGAACTGCCTCCTCTGTGATGTCCCTCTGTCAAGGTACCCTGCCTTGGAGTCAGCCAATATGTCTAAAGCTTCTACAAATTGAGAACTAAGTAAGCCTTTGCCTTTTAACTCTAGGCATTGAGCATTTTATCTCAGCAACAAGGAAAGTAACAAAGACAATAAGTCAGGCTTTCCAGATTCAAGATGTAGCATAGTGTCCACATGTGTGTGCAGAAATATTGTGACTTGTTGGGCGCAACCAGGGTGTTCACCACAGAAGTTTATAAAATGTGGTTCTCAACATATGCCCCTTTGAACCTTAGAATCAACACCACTTGGCAACTTCGTTAGAATTACAAGTTCTTGAACACACTTCAGACCATCTGGATCAGAAACATTGAGCAGGGCCCAGCAGGCTGTGGTTCATTAAGCCCTCCAAGGGGTTCTGATTCAGACTTAGAACACCACCTTAATGATGATCTGCTTTGGTGACAGGAGAAAAGGATAGATCACAAAGGGCCTGCAGCTAGCACTTTGTTTCTGAGATCCGATGACCCTGCCGGAACAGAGCTACCAGGAGTACCTTTCCTGGGTTTTAGACAGTTGACACATTTTAACTTTATCTAATTGGATTACAACTATTTTTCACATTCAGGATTATGTGCTCCAAGGGAAGGTATTTTTGCATTATTACTCTTTCCACATGATTTGAGAGAATTTATGTAGATTCTGAACTGGCTTTCCATTTAAAGGCTACTTTCTCATTTTGGCAACATTTTTCTACTTTAATACGTTTGTGTCAATTTAATTTGATTTGGTAAATTTTGCTGAAGGACTTTTTCTACCTCAAAGTTTTGACTACCTGTGGTGTGGACTTTTAGTTTTGAATATAATATTTGGTAAAAATCAACCACAGAAATTTGAAGGAGTTGCCAGGAAACTTTAGGTTTCAATACAATTTGCATATTGTGCAATTCAACTTTTTACTCAGTCTACCAATGCAGTTTCCCCTGTGAGAGAAAGAAAATTGTTCCTGGACTATTTGAGTTCTTATATCAGCTTCTACTTTTTGCATTCCTTTATTTGTCATGTCTGAAGATTTACTCCCCTTCTTTTCTTGTCACTTTTTGTCTCTTTCCCCACTCATTTTTCTTTTCTTTCCCCTCTTTAGTTTCTTCTTTTAAAACATTTTATCTTTTTCTCATATATCAGGACAGGCTTTTTATTTCTCTTAAAAATAAAAATTGAACTTCTTTGGGGTAAATCCCTTAGTATTTGTTTGGCCCTCACTGCATGGTTATATCTCGCTACTGAGATTTGTTTTCCACACTGGAAATCAGATCTTATGTACTTATTTTTTGATGGGGATTTGAGGCTAAGAGAAATTTTTTTTTTAAATAAGGCTGAATCTCAGTAAATGAAAAACATACTCAGCAGGTGTTCTTATTTTTTGTAGTAATTTATCTGCTTTCATAGCCTAATAGTACTCTCCTCTATTAATATGTCACAATTTATTCATTCATTCATATTGCAAACTATATTTTGATAGGTTTAAGTTGTTAGTAGTATAGTATAATGAACTTTCATGTGTACATCTTTTTAATATATATATTTAAAAAGACCTTGCATATATATATGCAAGGTTTTACTAAAGTAAATAATTTGAGTTAGGTTTTCTGGGTACTGCTCTGTCAGAATCTTTTTAAAAACATTTTTTAATTTTTGATTTTTAATTTTTTGAAGATGGTACAGAGTAGTTTTGCAACAAAATTACAAATGATACAGAATTTCACTAAACAAAATAATATGAATTACACAGTATTTGCTATATTGCATAGTGTTGTCTTCATATTAGTTGCTCATATTACCCAGATGTATGCATGCAACAGTGGAAGAATAAAGAAAAAATATAAGAAAGCAAGAAGAGAGTAAAAGGAAAAAGAATTGAAAAAAGAAGACAAAACAAATTAAGAACTAACTGCTCTTTTCCACAGACCAGTGGAAATCTACAGTATAGCTGTCCAAACCATCCTGCTTACACATATAAATATATCTCCTTCCCCCACTCTTTCTCCTGTCCTCCTCAACTCAGTAATTCCTTCCTTTTGAACAGGTTCGTTTCCTTGACCCAATATCTACTGTACCCTTCAGATTTTATTTTCTCTTTCAGGTTCTCACACTAAGGAATTAGGGATGGCCAGATAGCTCAAGGACTGGCCTGATAGCTCAGTGGACTAAAGTGCCTGCTTAGGCAGAGCGCAGTGGCTGGGGTTCGATCCCCAGGCCTGCTGTGCTAGCTCCACCCCCCGGGGCATGCGAGATGGCAATTGAGACTGTGTGTGGTGGCACACGCTTGTACTCTCAGTGCTTGGGAGGCTGAAAACAGGAGAATCACTATGAATCTGATCTGCATAGTAAGACCCTATAGACCCTGTCCTAAATACAGAGAGGAAAAAAAGGAGTTAAAACTATGTTTGCACATGTAAGGTTAATTTATTTCACATAAGGGCATGGTCTCTAGTTGCAACTATTATCTGATAAAAGCCTCAAATTTATAAGAATGTTTTGTAGATAATGCAAGACTGACTTCTGAATGAATGATTGTGCCATTTAATACTTCCACTAGGAGTGTCCAGGATTTCCTTTTCCCCACATTTTTCTTTGTAATTGGTACTGCTAATTTTTGCAAATTTAGTAAGTGGTAATTGTGCCTCATGTGTTTTCATTTTGTATTTGCCTAATTACAAGTGAGACTAATCACATGCAAATGTGCTGAGCATTCATTTATGTTCCATTCTTAGGGACAATGCTTGTCTATATCTTTTATCAAAAGTTTCTATGGTGTCATTTTCATTTGTAAATTTGCAGGAGTCTGATATATTTCGAAATCCCATTACTTTGCTTTCTCAGTCTTGAGCATGTGCATTGTAAATAAGCTCTCTTAGTGTTTAGCTTGTGTTTATACGTTTTGTAGATGATGCCTTTGATATATGGGGTTGATTTACCATTTCAACATTTTATAGGATGCATTTTGTTTTCTCTGCCTTATTTAAGAAACACTACTCTTCAGATAGCCTCTTCAGATTTTAAGGTTCATAATTGGTTTTTGTTTATTTACACTGTGTGTGTGTGTGTGTGTGTGTGTGTGTGTGTGTGTGTGTGTGCATGTGCAGCCTTCTCCCACTAGTGGAACCACTAGTTTCATCACTGTCTAAGAATTAGCTCATCACTCTGACACTACCCTGCACAATCCCTGTCAGATGTTGGGTTTCCGCATGAGTGTGTATCTGTTTCTGGGGTCTCAGCTTCATGCCCTTTGGCCTATTTTTGTTGCAAATCCACAATGTCTTATTTAGTTCCTATTTATGATTAATGTTGATATCTGGTAGGTGGCATGTATTACTTTTGTCATGTTCTCTTTCTAAATTATCTTTTTTCTAAATTATCTTGAATATTTGCTCCTGATTTTCTATATAAAATATGTAACAATTTTAAGCATTTATAAGCAAATCAACATGCTTCAAAACAACATGCTGTACACAGTAAGCATGTACAATTTATAAAATGTATTTATATACACCATATATAAGTGTTAAAATTATTTTAAAGTGAAAATAAGCAGTTACACATTCATATATATCACATAATTTTTCTTAGGTTTTTCACTGCAAATATAGAAAGATTAGATGAGAATTTTTATTTTTTATTTTTTTTTTGCCAGAACCAGGGATTGAACTCAGGCCCTTGCGCTTGCCAGGCAGTGCTTATCCTACTGAGCCATCTCTCTGGCCTCTAGATGAGAATTTTTAGATTTGTGGTACTTAGTCTTCCAACCAAGAAGCAGAAAATCTTCACTGAAGTTTCAACTTGCCATTTTCTCTGGTTGTTCTTAGAATTTTCATTGATTACTTTTATGGGGTCAGTTGTGAATTTTTGGGTTTACTCGCTAGTATCAACCAGTATCTGAGCATTTTTCAATAGAAACCTTATACTTATTTCAGAATATTTAGATCAGTATTCTATCAGAAGTACAGGATTTGTGCACGGTCTTTTTAAACGCAGCTGTCTACTTAAGTAAATGTGATCATTCTGAGTTTTTCCCCCACTGTCAATTTACATTTGAATATGTACTTATGAAAAATATGTATCTGTTTATGTTATAGGTGAGAAAATGCTCATCAGTGAGAAAGCCCATTTTTGGTCAGGAAGAATTATGCAAAGTAGATCTGAAGGAAATTTGGCTAGCATGGAAGACCAAACGAACTCCAAAAAGTACAATATTACAGGTACAGAAATTTGTAATTATTGAAACTTTTCATGTAAGTAAATCAAATAAATCACCACAAGTACTGAAAGTCTACTTCTAAAAACTTTTATTGGAGATGAAAAGAAGTATAAAATCCCAATTTTACAGAAATAGCTACCGTGTCAATGAAGATATATACAGAAAAGCCACATTAACAGATTACAAAAGTATAATAAATAGGCAAAAATTTAATTAATTAATGAGTGACATATGAAGTATATAAAGGGTACCTAAAAGAGATGGTGTTGAGCCAACCTAAAAAGTGTTGATGGAACAGAAAAAATGAACAGATCCTCAGAGCAAAGGGAGAATTTCGGGAGAGTGAGGATAGCTGAACAGAAGACGAGAGTGAACATGAGACAAATGCTATCTTTCTGTTTTCAAAATGGATTTCCTAAAATTTAATATATAACGCTTAAGCTTATTTATCTCAAGATGATAGTTCTACAAATATTAAAAATATCTAGCAGTTTACTTCATCTCTTTCTATGAAACGTTAGCAATTTGGTTGCTCATTTTCTCTACAATACCAATTTTTAAAATTTTAAAACACCAGTTTTAAAAACTGCGGACGAATTACTAATATTTTCTGAGAAAGGCCAAGTGTCAGTGGCTCTGAAGATGAAAAACTGGCTTCAACATTGTAGAATATATAGAAATTCTTGTACTAGAAACATGAATATGTATTTAATGTGCATCTAATTCTTAAAACACTTACTTTGCAAAGTAATTGCATGTTTCCATTTTTAGTGATTAAGATCATTCTTTGCTCTGCAAGCTTGGAAAAGCTAGAAAAATTCTTTCTACCATAGTCCCAGCAGTGTTCTATTTTTTCAAGGTTACTTTTCACACAAAAAATTAAATTAAAATTTTTTTAAATACAAAGTTATCAAAACTATTCTAATAAATCACTGATTGATTAATTTAGTGTATTGATATTCAATACATATAGTTGATATTTATCATATGTTGAATATTATCTGAAAAGGAAAACACGAAATTAATATTCTAGATACAATAAAACTATTCACTATTTTGAAAGCCTTAATAATTGACTGAATCATTCACTTTGTTCAGAAGTTTGCTTTTATGGAAATAAAACATAAAATATTAAGGTAGTGCACACTACTGAAGCTAATTTAAAAGGAAATGTATTAAATATGTCATCTACAGTGTTTGACAGTTATTTATTTAGTTTATATGACCATATCTTACACTAAAATTATCTACAGTCAAAATAACTTGATAGAAAATTTCCCTTTCTCATTTCATGCAGAATTGACCAAAAATAACATTAAGCTTGAAGTAACTAGACTACTAGAGATCACAAAGCAAAATGAAAAATTTTTTACCATATAGGGAAAATTGGTTGTTTCTTCCATCACCTCACTTTTGTTTGGCTTTACTTTTGTTTACATGTCAAGAATGCCAAGACCCTCATTTGCTTCACAATTGGCCAGATGCTTCTAGTCTTCCTGGTAATAATGCTTCCAAAGCTCGCAATCCATTCTGGAATGAACTATCTGCTTCTAACCCATTTTTGGATGACATAACTCAGCTAAGAAATAGCCAGCAGAGAGATCATGTTTCCATCTTGAAGGAAGATCCTTTTCTTTTTTTAAGAGACATAAAAACCGGGGATTCTTTTGATTCCTCTGGTGATGAATTTGATGTGCATAAGTTGTTCAGGCATTCCTCCTCAAGGAGATCGGGAAGATCCAAAAGTGTTTCAGAACTTCTAGACATTTTAGATGACACTACCCGTCCTCATGAGAGTATTCACAATTCTGACCAGATCTTAGTGCAAGACTTAGAGTGGCTTCAAGATGAAAGGGAAGCTTATAAAATGGCTTGGTTAAGTCAACGTCAGCTGGCCCGCTCCTGCCTGGATTTGAATACCATTAATCAGAGTCCGGGATGGGCCCAGACACAGGTTGCAGAGACCACTACAATTTGTAAATTAGATCACCAAGGAGGGTCTGTACAATTACCTGACTCAGACATCACTGTTCACGTTCCCAAAGGTCATGTAGCTGTGGGAGAATTCCAAGAAGTCTCACTAAGGGCTTTTCTGGATCCTCCCCAAATGCTCAATCATGATCTTTCATGCACTGTAAGCCCTCTTTTGGAAATCACATTAAGCAACCTTAACACAAAGGAAGCTATTCTGCTGGAAATGAAAATAGGGGCTGAAGTGAGAAAGGATCCTTTCAGCCAAGTCATGACAGAAATGGTGTGTTTATACAGCCCGGAAAAAGAAGGCCCTTTCAGAGCATTAAACATCTGCTATATTTATAAAGACACCATCCAAGTCAAGCTAATGGACTTCAGTCAGGTGATGTATCTAGTGATTGCTGCCCAAGCAAAAACTGTTCAGTCACCAGCTGCCACCATTTGGGATTACATCCACAAAACCACCTCAGTTGGAATCTATGGACCCAAATACATCCATCCTAGCCTCACTGCTGTTCTTATTGTCTGTGGACACAGCTACATGCCAGGAAAACTTACAGTCTCTGATATTAAGAAGGGTGGGAAAAACACATCTCCAGTTGTATTTCAGCTCTGGGGGAAGCATTCGTTTTTACTGGACAAACCAAAAGATTTAAGTATTTCCGTCTTTTCGTGTGACCCAGATTTTGAAGTAAAGGTAGAAGGAGAAAGAAAAGAAATTAAACAAAATCAGTTGGAAGCCGGCGAAGTAGTTCATCAACAATTTCTGTTTTCTTTGGTTGACCACAGAGAGATGCACTTGTTTGTTTTCCGTGTTCAGGTGGACACTCACGACAACAGACCAGTTGCGCAGTTCTTTATCACATCACCTGATCCGGCTCCAAACTTAAAAAGGCTCTCAAATCTGCCTGTTTATTTGAAGAAGGAAACAGAAGTGAAATCTGCTCCTTTACTGCCAACACTGCCTGTTAAGTATCCCACATTCCAAGATAAAAATTTGAACTTTACCAACTATGGTGTGACGCTAAAGACAGTGCTAAGACAAACCAAGCTGGACTACTTACTCGAGTATTTCAAAGGAGACACAATAGCTCTTCTTGGAGAAGGGAAGGTAAAAGCCATTGGGCAATCCAAAGTGAAAGAATGGTACGTGGGAGTCCTCCGAGGTAAGATCGGACTTGTGCACTGCAAAAATCTCAAGGTGATTTCAAAAGAACAACTAATGCCTGTGTCTGACAGTATCTTTACAACCAGGAATCTTCTTGAACAAATTGCTCTGCCCTTTAAACGACTGACTTATATATACTCCGTTGTATTAACCTTGGTGTCTGAAAAAGTGTATGACTGGAAAGTTTTAGCTGATATCCTGGGTTACTCACATCTGGCACTGGAAGATTTTGATCGAGTACAAGTGAGCAAAGAATCAGAAAGGGTTTCTTACGTTGTAAAGAAGTTAAAGGAAGATTGCCATGCTGATAGACACACGAGGAAGTTTCTTTATGAACTCATCGTGGTGAGTACTGCTTGATCATAGTAGTGTACCTGCCGCACACAGCATTACCAGCTTGACCAGGCCAAACATATGAGAGGAGAAATTTCTAAAAATGGTCACAAGATACATTGCAGCTACTTTAGAACAAATGCAGAGCTTTTCCTACAGGATCATATAATTGGATTTTTAGATTTGTGATTCAGTTTTGATTTCCTCAGAAAATAAATTCCCAAAGATTATCTTTTAAAGGAAAGATCAGAGGCTCTGTTTGTGCAGGAACTAAAACTAAGACATTTTCTCCTACTCTCAAATATTTAGGCCTTAAAGGATCAGAGAAGTTCTATGACATGAAAGTAAATAAGAAGAAACTTAAGCAAAACTAAGTTGGCCATTGCTAGAAGTCCATTTAGCACCACAACCTCCTCCTCCTTCTCCTTCTCCTCCTCCTCCTTTTCCTTCTCCTCCTCCTCCTTTTCCTTCTCCTCCTCCTCTTCCTCCTCCTCTTCCTCTTCCTCCTCTTCCTTCTCTTTCTCCTCCTGCTCCTCCTCCTTCGCTTTCTCCTCCTCCTTCTCCTCCTCCTTCTCTTTCTCCTCCTCCTC